GTATCTACTGAAGGCAGAGTCCATCATACAATTCCGACTGTATCTACTAAAGGCAGAGTCCATCATACAATTCCGACTGTATCTACTGAAGGCAGAGTCCATCATACAATTCCGACTGTATCTAATGAAGGCAGAGTCCATCATACAATTCCGACTGTATCTAATGAAGGCAATTCCGACTGTATCTACTGAAGGCAGAGTCCATCATACAATTCCGACTGTATCTACTAAAGGCAGAGTCCATCGTACAATTCCGACTGTATCTACTGAAGGCAGAGTCCATCATACAATTCCGACTGTATCTACTAAAGGCAGAGTCCGTCATACAATTCCGACTGTATCTACTAAAGGCAGAGTCCATCATACAATTCCGACTGTATCTACTGAAGGCAGAGTCCATCATACAATTCCGACTGTATCTACTAAAGGCAGGGTCCATCATACAATTCCGACTGTATCTACTGAAGGCAGAGTCCATCATACAATTCCGACTGTATCTACTGAAGGCAGAGTCCATCATACAATTCCGACTGTATCTACTGAGGTTAGAGTCCATCATACAATTCCGACTGTATCTACTGAAGGCAGAGTCTATCATACAATTCCGACTGTATTTACTGAAGGCAGAGTCCATCGTACAGTTTCGACTGTATCTACTGAAGGCAGAGTCCATCATACAATTCCGACTGTATCTACTAAAGGCAGAGTCCATCATGCAATTCCGACTGTATCTACTGAAGGCAGAGTTCATCATACAGTTCCGACTGTATCTACTGAAGGCAGAGTCCATCATGCAATTCCGACTGTATCTACTGAAGGCAGAGTCCATCATACAATTACGACTGTATCTACTAAAGGGAGAGTCCATCATACAATTCCGACTGTATCTACTAAAGGCAGAGTCCATCATACAATTCCGACTGTATCTACTGAAGGCAGAGTCCATCATACAATTCCGACTGTATCTACTAAAGGCAGAGTCCATCAAACAATTCCGACTGTATCTACTGAAGGCAGAGTCCATCATACAATTCCGACTGTATCTACTAAAGGCAGAGTCCATCATACAATTCCGACTGTATCTACTAAAGGCAGAGTCCATCATACAATTCCGACTGTATCTACTAAAGGCAGAGACCATCATACAATTCCGACTGTATCTACTAAAGGCAGAGTCCATCATACAATTCCGACTATATCTACTAAAGGCAGAGTCCATCATACAATTCCGACTGTATCTACTGAAGGCAGAGTCCATCATACCATTCCGACTATACCATGAGCATGTGCTTATGAATCAGTATCAAACAGCGATGGTACCAGGTGAAAAGGTGAACATATCCTGCCAAATCGGTGGCACCCGTCACAAACACATGCTAAGGCAGGTAAAATGCAGAATTACATCGGGCTTCATTTTTGTCACTTACACGCCGAATTGGGAAATGTCTTCCAAAACATTTTTTGGATACTCTAGTAAGGCCTTGAAGCATCTGAGCAAAGATTGTATGGCGCTCTTTGAAACCTTCGTAGTTAGAGCATGTTCGATCCTCCGATCTCAAGGACATGTAAATAATGGAACAAGGGGAAAAGGTTAGTTTTATTACTGACATCAAACATAGTAATAAATACACGACATACAACTCCTCCAAACCCCCATCACTTGCAACTGTACACACTGTTGCTGCGACAACCAAAGCCTGGGTGAAACTCGGATGTAGCTCGCCTCTCGTAGACCCAGTGTTCAAACGCATTGGACTTCCTGTCGCCATGCAAGTTGAGTAGTAATGGTGACACACCCGGGCCCACTTGCACAAAGCGATCTTAGCGCTAAGACTATTGTAAGCCTATGTTGAAGTATTGGAGTTACGATCATCTTAGCGCTAAGATCGCTTTGTGCAAGTGGGCCCCAGACTGAAGGCAAACGTCCACCCGCCTCCCGTAAACGAGTGTCCACTATGGTCAGCAGGGCGACATCCACAAACACCCAGCAAGGTGTTACATCGGTGAAGTGATTGACCATGGTGCCGTTGTAAAAAGCGGTCTTAGCGCTAAGGTGAGCGTTACTCCCATACCTTATGACAGACTTACGACAGTTGTAGCGCGAAGGTGGAGAAGGGAAAGCTGAAGTCATAAATATCTGCCTTCATCTTCTTAATACGATCCACACTGAACGTGTCTCTAAAGCTCTTTGCATGTCGAGGGTCCCATTGACGCACAGTGTCACACGTGTCAACTCCTAGGTCACACTGACCTTACATTCAACAGTGACTGATAGTTTAACAAACAAAGCATTGTGTATGTTTAAGGCAAGTGGATCAAACTCTTATATGAAATTCAAAACGTCAACGACAGAGAATACCGAGACTCGACGACTAGTACCGGCCGAACATATCCCACAAGGCAAAGAGATGAAACCTATATAAATGGATCACTGAAAATCAATGATGACTCCAAGTGTTAGGGGTTATGACGTCCTACCGGTAGCACCCGCCAATCACACAGTTTGCATAAACTTGTAAGTGTTGGTATGTTGCCTGACGCCGCACCCAGCAAAGTCAGTGATGCTACAAGACACATCGGCTGTACATACAACCTGGTCCACAGCGCTTGCACACACACACACACACACACACACACACACACACACACACACACACACACACACACACACACACACACACACACACACACACACACACACACACACACACACACACACACACACAAACACACACACACACACACACACACACACACACAAACACACACACCCGCCTCACCCCCCCCCCCCCCCCCCCCCCCCCGCCTCAATCTCACCAAAATGGTATTTTCTGACAAATATTTCAAACCAGTTTTAAACCATGATTATTAGCCTGTTTCGTCTCTCCATTTGGCAATTATTTATTCTCTTTCTCCAGAATATTCACACAGGTCCTGTGGTATGGCGCCAGCACAATACATGTCATGAGCTGTATGAAACACAACAACACATACTGCTCCAGTTCCTGCAACAAACTCACCGACTCCTCATACTGGGGATATTGATTGATGATGTGATAGTGTAGTCAGTTGCTTGCTTTGAAACAAGGAGAGTTTCCGGGGTCGTATGGCGTGATCCAAGTACACAATACCACTACTCATACTACTAAATAGGAACATAAACGAAGACTTAATAGATAATACGTGTTTTTATTTAGTATCATGGATGGCTTCCTCTATTGCCCCTGACCTCATAGGAATGTTTATGTTATAATAAATAACCAGGGATAGCATTATTAAAAATAACAAACATCTTCACAATCAATCTTTATAATGAAGTCACACTGTTGTTCTTGTTTTTGTTATAATAAATAATCAGGGATAGCAAAGTCATAAATAACAAAAATCTTTAAGATCAAATCTTTATAATGACGAAACCCGAAATTCAACGGTCATTCCGTACTTGCATTTGAAACAAGCAAAACTGACGCAACTATAGGTCATTATGCAAAATTATATAAGGGTAATATATCATTTCTTAACAAAGGGTAATATATCATGTCTTAATAAAGGGTAATATATCACGTCTTAATGAAGGGTAATATATCATGTCTTAACAAAGGGTAATATATCATGTCATAACGAAGAAGTAATATATCATGTCTTAACGAAGGGTAATATATCATGTCTTAACACAGGGTAATATATCACGTCTTAATGAAGGGTAAAATATCATGGCTTAACGAAGCGTAATATATCATTTCTTAACAAAGGGTAATATATCATGTCTTCACGAAGGGTAATATGTCATGTCTTAACATAGGGTAACATATCATGTCTTAACGAAGGGTAATATATCAAGTCTTAACGAAGGGTAATATATCACGTCTTAACGAAGGGTAATAAATCATGACTTAACGAGGGTAATATATCATGTCATAACGAAGGGGTAATATATCATGTCTTAACGAAGGGTAATATGTCATGTCTTAACATAGGGTAACATATCATGTCTTAACGAAGGGTAATATATCATGTCTTACCGAAGGGTAATATATCACGTCTTAATGAAGGGTAATATGACATTTCTTAACGAAGGGTAATATATCATGTCTTAACGAAGGGTAATATATCATGTTTTAACAAAGGGTTACATATCATGTCTTAACGAAGGGTAATATATCATGGCTTAACGATGGGTAATATACCACGTCTTAATGAAGGGTAATATGACATTTCTTAACGAAGGGTAATATATCATGTTTTAACAAAGGGTAATATATCATGTCTTAATGAAGGGGTAATAAATCATGGCTTAACGAAGGGTAAAATATCATGTCTTAATGAAGGGGTACAATATCATGTCATAACAATGGGTAATTTATCATGTCTTAACGATCGGTAATATGCCATGTCTTGAAATCATATTTTCATAGTCAGGGGATAATATCTTTCTTCTTAATCCACAAACATTTGCATAGTATTCACTTAGTAGTGTTTTGGCGTAGACATGGCGTGCTGTGGGGTATAATGCGTCAGGGTGTTGGTAGAAATAACCACATTCGATTGATCAGAATTGATCTGAGGTGAATGGGCGTGGCTTAGTTGTGGTTTCGGAAATGCACGTGGGCGGCCTCACTGTCAGAAACAACCAGATGTTGTGACACGTTCTAGCTGGGGCATTACCAGGTGACGCGAGCTCCGCTTGGCCAAACACTGATAGCAGAGTGTAGTGTGATTTTCTAATGTTGACATTAAACTGGTGTGATGTACTGTACCGACACCACCAGAAAATCACGACTTCCTTCTGGTTTAAAAAATTAAATCCATTGTCTGGTGTCATATCCTGTTTGACTTTTCCACGACTGCTCTATCGTGTTACGTGAGAGATTTGGACACCGCCAAACATTCACACCTTTCCACGTATTTCAATAAAAGAAGTGTCATTTATTATCTACCAGTATATCTAAATAGCATTTACATTTAGATCAATTGTTGACAGTATTTCCAACTTTCCTATAAAGTGCAGCTGAAACATGGACCTGTCACCACACTCTTGGTACGACTCATCATGGCGGGGTTTCTCCAGATCGCAGTATGGCTCTTCATCGTGGCTGTTGCCTGCACTCCAGCGGACGGCTATAGATCTAGAAGAACATGCAGCTCCAATATGAGGTGGGTCAAGTGATGGTTCACATCCTCAACTAACTGCTATCATGTTCTTCCTATTAACATTAGAGATTATATTAACGTTAGAGACGACATCAACATTAGAAAATATTAGAGATCACATTACTGATCATATACAATAATCTGCTGTGAAAGTGGTTCAGAAGTAATGTCAATGTCTACCGCTCCAAACACCCACCCCACCCCAGCACTGCATTCATCGCCGTTACAGAGAAGTCATATCATGTCTACCGCTGTTCACCCCATCCCGTCCACACCCCTCCCTTCATTCCCGTTACAGAGAAGTGATGTAATGTCTACTGCTGTTCACCCCACCCCAGCCCACCCCTCCATTCATCTCCGTTACAGAGAAGTGATATAATGTCTACTGCTGTTCAACCCCACCCCACGCCACTCCAGCACTCCATTCATCCCCGTTACAGAGAAGTGATGTAATGTCTACCGCTGTTCACCCCCACCCCACCCCAGTACTCCATTCATCCCCGTTACAGAGAAGTGATGTAATGTCTACCGCTGTTCACCCCACCCCAACGCCACCCCTCCATTCATCTCCGTTACAGAGAAGTGATGTAATGTCTACCGCTGTTCATCCCCATCCCACCCCACCCCAGCACTCCATTCCCCGTTACAGAGAAGTGATGTAATGTCTACCGCTTTTCACCCCCGCTCCACCCCACCCCAGCACTCCATTCATCCCCGTTACAGAGAAGTGATGTAATGTCTACCGCTGTTCACCCCACCCCAGCCCAACCCTTCATTCATCTCCATTACAGAGAAGTGATATAATGTCTACCGCTGTTCAACCCCACCCCACGCCACTCCAGCACTCCATTCATCCCCGTTACAGAGAAGAGATGTAATGTCTACCGCTGTTCATCCCCATCCCACCCCACCCCAGCACTCCATTCATCTCTGTTACAGAGAAGTGATATAATGTCTACCGCTGTTCATCCCCATCCCACCCCACCCCAGCACTCCATTCATCTCCGTTACAGAGAAGTGATGTATTGTCTACCGCTTTTCACCCCCACCCCACCCCACCACTCCATTCATCCCCGTTACAGAGAAGTGATGTTATGTCTACCGCTTTTCACCCCCACCCCACCCCACCACTCCATTCATCCCCGTTACAGAGAAGTGATGTAATGTCTACCTCTTTTCACCCCCACCCCACCCCACCCCAGCACTCCATTCCCCGTTACAGAGAAGTGATGAAATGTCTACCGCTGTTCAACCCCACCCCACCCCACCACTCCATTCATCCCCGTTACAGAGAAGTGAGGAAATGTCTACCGCTGTTCACCCCAGCCCACCCCACCCCTCCATTCATCTCCGTTACAGAGAAGTGATGTAGTGTCTACCGCTGTTCACCCCCACCCCACCCAACACTCCATTCATCCCCGTTACAGAGAAGTGATGTAGTGTCTACCGCTGTTCAACCCCACCCCACCCCACCACTCCATTCATCCCCGTTACAGAGAAGTGATGTAGTGTCTACCGCTGTTCAACCCCACCCCACCCCAGCACTCCATTCATCCCCGTTAGAGAGAAGTGAGGAAATGTCTACCGCTGTTCACCCCCACCCGAAGCCACCCCAGCACTCCATTCATCTCCGTTACAGAGAAGTGATGTAATGTCTACCGCTGTTCAACCCCACCCCACCCCACCACTCCATTCATCTCCGTTACAGAGAAGTGATCTTATGTCTACCGCTGTTCAACCCCACCCCACCCCAGCACTCCATTCATCTCCGTTACAGAGAAGTGATGTAATGTCTACCGCTGTTCAACCCCACCCCACCCCACCACTCCATTCATCTCCGTTACAGAGAAGTGATCTTGTGTCTACCGCTGTTCACCCACACCCCAGAACTCCATTCATGTCAGTTACACAGAAGTGATGTAATGTCTACCGCTGTTCACCCCACCCCACCCCACCCCAGCACTCCATTTAACTCCGATACAGAGAAGTGATGTAATGTCTACCACTGTTCACCCCCACCCCACCTCACCCCAGCACTCCATTCATCTCCATTACAGAGAAGTGATGAAATGTCTTCCGCTGTTCACCCAACCCCACCTCAACACTCAATTCATCTCCGTGGCAGAGAAGTGATGTAATGTCTACCGCTGTCAACCCCCACCCAACCCCACCACTCCATTCATCTCCGTTACAAAAAAGTGATGAAATGTCTACCGCTGTTCACCTCCACCCCACCCCACCCCACCCCAGCACTCCATTCATCTCCGTTACACAGAAGTGATGAAATGTCTACCGCTGTTCACCCCCAACCCGACGCCACCCCAGAACTCCATTCATCTCCGTTACAGAGAAGTGATGTTATGTCTACCGCTGTTCTCCCAACGCCACCCCTCGATTCATCTCCGTTACAGCGAAATGATGTTATGTCTACCGCTGTTCACCCCCACCCCATCCCACCCCACCCCAGCACTCCATTCATCTCCATTACAAAGAAGTGATGTTATGTCTACCGCTGTTCTCCCAACGCCACCCCTACATTCATGTCCGCTACAGAGAAGTGATGTTATGTCTACCGCTGTTCACCACACCCCACCCCAACCAAGCACTCCATTAATCTCCTTTACAGAGAAGTGATGTAGCGTCTACAGCTGTTCACCCCCACCCCACCCCTCCATTCATGTCCGCTACAGAGAGGTGATGTTATGTTAATCGCTGTTAACCCCATCCCAGCACTCCATTCATCTCCGTTACAGAGAAGTGATCTAATGTCTACCGCTGTTCAACCCCACCCCACCCCACCCCAGCACTCCCTTTATCTCCGTTACAGGGAAGTGATGTAATGTCTACAGCTGTTCAACCCCACCCCAGCACTCCATTCATGTCCGTTACAGAGAAGTGATGTTATGTCTACCTCTGTTCACCCCCACCTCACCCCAGCACTCCATTCATGTCCGTTACAGAGAAGTGATGTTATGTCTACCTCTGTTCACCCCCACCTCACCCCAGCACTCCATTCATCTCCATTACAGAGAAGTGATGTAATGTCTACCACTGTTCACCCCACCCCACCCCACCCCACCCCAGCACTCTATTCATCTCCGTTACAGAGAAGTGATGTTATGTCTACCGCTGTTCACCCCCACCTCATCCCAGCACTCCATTCATCTCCATTACAGAGAAGTGATGTAATGTCTACCGCTGTTCACCCCACCCCACCCCACCCCACCCCAGCACTCTATTCATCTCCGTTACAGAGAAGTGATGTTATGTCTACCGCTGTTCACCCCCACCTCATCCCAGCACTCCATTCATCTCCGTTACAGAGAAGTGACGTAATGTCTACCGCGATTCACCCCAGCCCAACCCACCCCTCCATTCATCTCCGTTACAGAGAAGTGACGTAATGTCTACCGCTGTTCACCCCATCCCACCCCACCCCTCCATTAATCTCCGTTACAGAGAAGTGATTTTATCTCTACCGCTGTTCACCCCCACCCCACCCCACCCCACCCCAGCACTCCATTCATCTCCTTTACAGAGAAGTGATGTAATGTCTACCGCTGTTCACACCACTCCACCCCACACCACACCAGCATTCCATTCATCTCCGTTACAGAGAAGTGATGTTATGTCTACCGCTGTTCAAATTCACCCCGCCCAGCACTCCATTCATCTCCATTAAAGAGAAGTGATGTAATTTCTACAGCTGTTCAACCCCACTCAACCCTCCATTCATGTCCGCTACAGAGAAGTGATGTTATGTTAACCGCTGTTCACCCCACGCCACCCTCCATTCATCTCCGTTACACAGAAGTGATGTAATGTCTACACCTGTTCACCCCCACCCGACCCAAGCACTCCATTCATCTCCGTTACAGAGAAGTGATGTAATGTCTACCGCTGTTCACCCGATCCCACCTCAGCACTCCATTCATATCCGTTACAGAGAAGTGATGTCATGTCTACAGCTGTTCAACCCACCCCACCCCAGCACTCCATTCATCTCCGTTACAGAAAAGTGATGTAATGTCTACCGCTGTTCACCCCAGCCCACCCCAGCACTCCATTCATCTCCGTTACTGAGAAGTGATGTAATGTCTACCACTGTTCACCCCACCCCACCCCACCCCACCCCACCCCACCCCACCCCACCCCACCCCACCCCACCCCAGCACTCTATTCATCTCCGTTACAGAGAAGTGATGTTATGTCTACCTCTGTTCACCCCCACCTCACCCCAGCACTCCATTCATCTCCATTACAGAGAAGTGACGTAATGTCTACCGCTGTTCACCCCAGCCCACCCCACCCCTCCATTCATCTCCGTTACAGGGAAATGATGTAATGTCTACCGCTGTTCACCCCCACCCCACCCCTCCATTCATGTCCGTTACAGAGAAGTGATGTTATGTCTAAGTGTTATGTTCACTGCAATGAAAATGTCTCTTTTCTCAAGTTCAGAAAACTCAGTCTTTCACACTGAAGTATATACTAAAATGATTTTCTCTGACTTTTAAACATGAATGTACAGTATGCACCACGATCACGTGCCTAGAACTGTGTCACCTCTTCAAGACATACCATGATTTTCTCTGAAAGGAGGAGTGTTTGTGTCCTGACATTCAGCTGTCCGATGTTTTCGCCTTATCTTAACATGATACTAAAATGGACATTTGGTATGCGCTATCGTCTATCCTTTGAAGCATGCTCAAGCAGCGTACCAATGCATGAAAATTATAAACATCCAATATACGATGCTTGACTGGATTATAAATACTGTTATGCAGGACATCCATTAGGCCAGTGTTTGCAGCATCTTTAAGGTATAGTTAAACTATGCAGGTCTCAATAGGAATCAAACACTTGGCACGCTGAATATTTGTGCGTGTCAAACATCTGACTGATCATCTACAGCGAAGAACACACACACACCATGTTAATGTCAGGAGTGTTGAACACATACCAAGTTATCTCCTAGTGTTGGCAGTGTAGTATTTGCGTCCTACCTTCGCATATATTTTGAAAAATAATTCAGCTCGACATTACATGGTGTTGTCACATCAAGGGAAAAACAGATACGGACACAGACATACTCATACATACACACACAGACACACTCATGCACACAGACACACACATACTCATACACACAGACACACTCATACACACAGACAGACATACTCATACACACAGACACACACACACACTCATACACACAGACACAGACATACTCATACACACAGACATACTCATACACACAGACACAGACACACTCATACACACAGACACAGACAAACTCATACACACAGACATACTCATACACACAGACACACAGACACACTCATACACACAGACACAGACATACTCATACACACAGACATACTCATACACACAGACACAGACATACTCATACACACACACACACACACACACACACACACACACACACACACACACACACACACACACACACACACACACACACACACACACACACCACCACACACACACCACACACACATATGCACACTTACACATTGGAACACCTACACACACACTCACACAAACACAGACACTCACACACAAACCCGAATTACCCATAAGCTTCGGTATTATTTTGGAAGGTAAGCTGTTTAATGTCAAGAATTCATGATTTCTCCTGCTGTGTTTCCAGGTGCACCTGCAAGGCCTACTGCGGGAGTATGGTGGTACGTAATTTCGGGACGATCTACAGATGCACGTCCTGCCGTAGCTGCCAGTCTTACTGTGCCTCCCGCTGTGCAAGCAAAGTCTCCCGCTGGGCCAGATACAGTTGCGGGGGCGCCTCTACCGGGGAAAGGATCAAACCCTATTTCTACTTGTCTGGATACAGCAAAGGCTTCTACTCCAGCACCTATGTCTGTAGAAGGACTCACTACTATGGCTAGTCGAGACATTGATCTAATGACGCCTGCACGGTCATGGCTAATGTAATCCTCAATTCCGAAATAAACCTGCAAGCGAGCAATAATCGAGTAATGTTTTGAATTAATACTATGCAAGCGCAAACAAGTAAATGTTCCAAAAGTCAACCAAAGATTGGTCCAACTGAGCTAGGGTTACCGCTGGTACTGGACCTGTCCTAGGTGTCGATCTACCTCATCCCAGTCATGTTCTGTAGGGGAGAGGTCTGGAGAAATAGGCGGTCATGGCAGTACGGCGATATTAGTTTGTCTTAAAAAGTCTGTCACAAGACGTGCAACGTGTGGGCGGACATTATCCTACTGCAACGTTCCTGCATTTCCACAAAGGGTGGAACATGATCGCGAACGATGTCGTCTCGATAGTGTACGCCCTTAAAATTAAACTCATTGACAATGATGAATTGTGTTATCCAAAGACTTGTGATGCCACCCAATACTATTACACTTCCACCCCAAAACTGACGACGTTGAGTAACGCAACCGTCGCTAAAACGTTCTCCTCCACGCCAGTAGAACCTTGTTGTCCAGATGTAACGTGGACGCATCTGTGAACAGTGTACTGTCCAAGTCTTGTCTCAGATACTGTCAGCACCAAGCTAGACGTGCCTGACCGTGACTTGGAAGTAAAGCCGGGCGTATTCGATGGATGTCGGGCCGGATGGTGTGCTCCTTCAACCGGTTTCGTACGGTTCTGCCACCAAGTGGTCTCAACCCAGGAATTGTCCGAGCTGCCAATGTGGAAGTATGTTATAGATTCTGTAGATGCACCAACCGAATATCGTTGTCTTGTTGACGTGACGTCACACGTGGACGACCGGCCCGTGGCAAGTCATGGGTGTTTTTCGTACTATACAGAATGTCTCCAAAGAGATAATATTATGTTTTGATGAACATTAAAATGTCTGACAACTTAGTTTTGCGCCATTCCTGTTTGCAGCATACCTGTGGCATGGCGTGAGCGTTATGAACGGTCAAACAGAAGTGTTTTTTGAGCACCTGACAGCTAAACAGTCATTGTGTGCTGTTCACACTAATTAACACGAGTATGAGTATCATGCGCCTAACAAACACGCAAACATCCAAATTGTGCGCATTGAAATAATATGCATTTGCACAATGTGAATCGCGACCTTAAAGTCGAGGAGATGTCTTCCTGAAGATCCAGTGCAAGATGCATTACTCAAAGTCAGAATAAATTGATTTTTTTTTAACGATATTCCAAGCACATTTACTTTTTCCGTAAGTATGTAAGCATCAGTAACTATGTGTACGGGTGTCCTATTCCGCTGGTAGAACCTCTCTCAAACACACGCAAACACCCACGGGAACATAAGTACAAGTCATAATAGGCAATTGCATGAAACATGCGTCAGTGATGCGTCAAATTTGGAAATGTCCACTACGTGTCTTCCATAAAACCTTTTTGAAATCTTTACTGAGGCCTCTGCAATTGGGTAAATCTCATATGAAAGCATATACATATACTCACACGCAAAAGAAACGCAAGTCGAGTATGCAGTATACATGTTATTTATTTTCAACAGTAAAGACAAGAAATACTAATAGGGAAAGATTGACAAAAAAATCACTGAAGACAGTTTTATGGATTAAAAGGCTGATGACATAATTGATTTTTTCAAATGTTAAGGGCTTACACAGTTTCGGGTCAATACCCAAAATGTCAGTCAATACCTGGTGTGACCACCATTAGCATATTGATCACTGCCACACATCTCCTGTGCATTGAGTGGATCCTGCACACATCCAGAGCAGCTGTGCGTAGTTAATCGGCAGTTGTAGGGACTGGGCGCACATTGTGTAGACGCCTTTGAACCTCATCCCACAAGTGTTCGATGGAGTTCAGATCATGGCTGAGGGCTGGCCACGGTAGAACACGGATGTTGTGTTGTTGCAGAAAAGCCATGGTAGATCTGGCAACATGGGGACGAGCGTTGTCCCGCTGGAAAATGTGTTGTTGATGTTGTGCAAAAAATGGAACAACGTGGGGTCTGATCACTTGGTCGATATACCGCTGAGCAGTGGCGCCGGGTCCCCGACCTTGACCAACATTCAGAAAGCACATTAAGTCCAATCCCTGCCCATATCATGACGCTAGGTCCACCCCATCGATCCCTTTCCACAATGTTTCTCTCAGCGAAATGATCACCTCGACGCCGCCAAATTCTGACTCTTCCGTCTGCATGGGAGACACAAAAGCGACTTTCATCAGAGATGATGACACGCCTCTACTCACGATGACGCCACATGCTATAGAGTGAACCACAGGCTACATAGTGAACCACAGTCACAGAGTGAACCACCAGGCTACAGAGTGAACCACAGGCTACATAGTGAACCACAGTCACAGAGTGAACCACCAGGCTACAGAGTGAGCCACAGTCACAGAGTGAACCACAGGCTACATAGTGAACCACAGTCACAGAGTGAACCACAGGCTACAGAGTGAACCACAAGGCTACAGAGTGAACCTCCGGGCTACAGAGTGAACCACAAGGCTACAGAGTGAACCACAAGGCTACAGAGTGAACCTCCAGGCTACAGAGTGAACCACAAGGCTACAGAGTGAACCTCCAGGCTACAGAGTGAACCACAAGGCTACAGAGTGAACCTCCAGGCTATAGAGTGAACCACAGGCTACATAGTGAACCACAGTCACAGAGTGAACCACAGGCTACAGAGTGAACCACAAGGCTACAGAGTGAACCACAAGGCTACAGAGTGAACCTCCAGGCTACAGAGTGAACCACCAGGCTACAGAGTGAACCACAGTCACAGAGTGAACCACTGGCTACAGAGTTAACCACACCGAGTGAACCACAGGCACAGAGTGAACCACCAGGCTACAGAGTGAACCACAGGCTACAGAGTGAACCACAAGGCTACAGAGTGAACCTCCAGGCTACAGAGTGAACCTCCAGGCTACAGAGTGAACCACAGTCACAGAGTGAACCTCCAGGCTACAGAGTGAACCACAGGCTACAGAGTGAACCACAAGGCTACAGAGTGAACCTCCAGGCTACAGAGTGAACCTCCAGGCTACAGAGTGAACCACAGTCACAGAGTGAACCACCAGGCTACAGAGTGAACCACCAGGCTACAGAGTGAACCACCAGGCTACATAGTGAACCACCAGGCTACAGAGTGAGCCACAGTCACAGAGTGAACCACAGTCACAGAGTGAACCACCAGGCTACAGAGTGAACCACCAGGCTACAGAGTGAACCACCAGGCTACATAGTGAACCACCAGGCTACAGAGTGAGCCACAGTCACAGAGTGAACCACAGTCACAGAGTGAACCACCAGGCTACAGAGTGAACCACAGTCACAGAGTGAACCACAGTCACAGAGTGAACCACAGTCACAGAGTGAACCACCAGGCTACAGAGTGAACCACCAGGCTACAGAGTGAACCACCAGGCTACAGAGTGAACCACAGTCACAGAGTGAACCACCAGGCTACAGAGTGAACCACAGTCACAGAGTGAACCACAGTCACAGAGTGAACCACCAGGCTACAGAGTGAACCACCGGGCTACAGAGTGAACCTCAGTCACAGAGTGAACAACAGGCTACAGAGTGAACCACAGGGCTACAGAGTGAACCACACCGAGTGAACCACAGGCACAGAGTGAACCACAGGCTACAGAGTGAACCACCAGGCTACAGAGTGAACCACCAGGCTACAGAGTGAACCTCAGTCACAGAGTGAACAACAGGCTACAGAGTGAACCACAGGGCTACAGAGTGAACCACCGGCTACAGAGTGAACCACCGGCTACAGAGTGAACCACCAGGCTACAGAGTGATTCACCAGGCTACAGAGTTCACCACACCGAGTGAACCACATGCACAGAGTGAACCACTGGCTACAGAGTGAACCACCAGGCTACAGAGTGAACCACCAAGCTACAGAGTGATTCACCAGGCTACAGAGTTAACCACACCGAGTGAACCACAGGCACAGAGTGAACCACAGTCACAGAGTGAACCACCATGCTACAGAGTGAACCACCAGGCTACAGAGTGAACCACAGTCACAGAGTGAACCACAGGCTACATAGTGAACCACAGTCACAGAGTGAACCAGAGGCTACAGAGTGAACCACAGGCTACATAGTGAACCACAGTCACAGAGTGAACCACAGTCACAGAGTGAACCACCATGCTACAGAGTGAACCACCAGGCTACAGAGTGAACCACAGTCACAGAGTGAACCACAGGCTACATAGTGAACCACAGTCACAGAGTGAACCAGAGGCTACAGAGTGAACCACAGGCTACATAGTGAACCACAGTCACAGAGTGAACCAGAGGCTACAGAGTGAACCACAGGCTACATAGTGAACCACAGTCACAGAGTGAACCTCCAGGCTACAGAGTGAACCACAGGCTACAGAGTGAACCACAAGGCTACAGAGTGAACCACCATGCTACAGAGTGAACCACCAGGCTACAGAGTGAACCACAGTCACAGAGTGAACCACAGGCTACATAGTGAACCACAGTCACAGAGTGAACCAGAGGCTACAGAGTGAACCACCAGGCTACAGAGTGAACCACAGTCACAGAGTGAACCTCCAGGCTACAGAGTGAACCACAGGCTACAGAGTGAACCACAGTCACAGAGTGAACCACCAGGCTACAGAGTGAACCTCCAGGCTACAGAGTGAACCACAGTCACAGAGTGAACCTCCAGGCTACAGAGTGAACCACCAGGCTACAGAGTGAACCACAAGGCTACAGAGTGAACCACAAGGCTACAGAGTGAACCTCCAGGCTACAGAGTGAACCACCAGGCTACAGAGTGAACCACAGTCACAGAGTGAACCACTGGCTACAGAGTTAACCACACCGAGTGAACCACAGGCACAGAGTGAACCACAGGCTACAGAGTGAACCACAGGCTACAGAGTGAACCACAAGGCTACAGAGTGAACCTCCAGGCTACAGAGTGAACCTCCAGGCTACAGAGTGAACCACAGTCACAGAGTGAACCTCCAGGCTACAGAGTGAACCACAG